TGTGTGTGTGTGTGTGTGTGTGTGTGTGTGTGTGTGTGTGTGTGTGTGTGTGAGTGTGGATATCAACATGAAATTGCGCTTGATGCGTATGCATGTGTGCACTGAGGCGGGCATTTCAATCCGGGCCTTGGCATTTGCATGCAGTTGAGTGCGTGCAGGGTGCGCCACGCGTGCAGTGCTGCGGGCCCTCATTTCCCCTTGCAACCGTCTCGCCCGGTGGTGCGCGGCTCAGCGCACGCCGCCGGGCTGCTAAGAGGTGATGCGACCTAGCAGGGCAAAATCAGCCCTGCCGCACCGCAGAAATGAACAGCAGAGACGCAAGACGTGGGGGTAGTTGCGAGGGTCTGGGCAGATGGTCAAGGGCAGAGACTGCCCTGCGCTCACCTCGGTATCCCGCAGGCGCCACACTTTTTGAATTTCGAACCGTCCTGCGCATGGCCCTTTCCGCAAGCGGCGCACGACGCCGTCGCTTTCTGCCGCGCCGGCGGTGCCGCGACCGCCGCCGCAAAGCTGGCGCCCAGGCCGCTCGCGACGCCGCCACGCAGCCGCCCGGCCAGCAGCGCCTCAAGCGCCTCAGCTGCATTGGCAGCTGGCGTCGCGGCATCCCCGTCGGCCCCTCTGGTCCCAGCGTGCTCGGCAACAGTTCGCAGGCTCAGGGCCGCCCGTTCGCGCGCAACTGCCGCGTTTGGCGCGCGAAAGTTCATGGAGCAGGTCGGGTCCACGCACCCGGCGTCCGTGCACGGCACGCAGCCGCGCTCCGGAGGCCGCTGCGGCTCGCCGCCGCTGAGTGTGTGCAGCACCTGCAGCGCTTTGCCTGACGTCACGCCTGCGGGGCCGGGGTCGCCCGCGCCGTCGATGGCCGCCGCCGCCAGCCAGGCAAGCGCGCCGGGCGTGGCGGCCAGGTCACACTGTGCGACGGTCGAGCGCAGGGCCATCACACGCGCCAGGCTCAGCCCCTCCCGGCCGCCCGCCGCAAGGCCGCCCCACACGAGGGCCCGCAGCTCATCATCTGGCGGCAGGGCCGCCGCGGCCGCGTCCCTGGCTGCCGCGGCGGCCATGGCTGCGGCTTCGTAGGGGTCCCTCAGCGCAAAGGAGATGGAGCCAAGGGCGCACGCGACCTGCGTGCGCAGAGCCATGGGGTCGACGGGCACGATGGAGCCTTCGGCGTAGCCGCCGCCGCCGGCCGGCGCCGCAAAGGCGGCGGGCCCGGCGCGCGCGGCCTTGACCAGCGCGCGCAGCGCGCCGTGCCGCGGCGCCGCGACCTCGAGAGCCCACACGTCCCCGCCGTCAGTAGCAGTGCAGAACGCCGCCAGTGCCGCCGCGTTGTACAGCAGGTGCACGCGGTCGCCGTTCCCGCGCCCCTTGGCGCCGCACGCGGCGCGCAGCGCGGCGGCGACGGCCGCCGCGGAGCCTGGCGCCGACACGACCAGCGATGTGCCAGCCCCGCGGCGCGCGGCGGCAAACAGCAGGCTGGCGGCGAGTGCGGGGCACATGGAGTTGCCGTCGGCCTCCAGCAGGGCGGGCGCCCGCGCCAGCACCGCCAGCAGCGGCGCCGCCAGCGCCGTCACCGACCGTGCAGCCGCCAGCGTCGCCGCGCCGTCCATGGCAGCCGCGCCCTGCAGCAGCCTCAAACAGCAGCAAACAGTGTCCTCATCCCTGCCGTCCCAGGCGCCGCCGCCGCCGCCGCCTGGGCGAACGCGGTTTGTCAGCGCCGCGAGGATTTGGCGCAGCGCGGGCGCGTGGGACGCCAGGTCATTTAACAGCGGGCAGTGCGCCTCCCCGGTGAACACAATCGAGGTCGCGGTGATGAGCGCGGCGACCTCCTCCCTATCTCGATCCTACGCCCCCAGGCCCGCGGAGGTTGTAAGTTGCGCGGCGACGGCGGACCAGAGCAGGCGCCCCGCGCGCTCCCGCGAGACCGCCGCGGCGGCGGCGGTGACAGCGGCGGCGGCGGCGGCGCGCAGGGCCGCGCGGGAGCTGTCTGAGGGCGTCAGGTGGACCGCCATCACAGCAAAGGGCTGGTAATGGAAGGAGCTGTCCACCAGCGCTGCGCGCAGCAGCCCCGACAGCGCCCCGGGTACCTTGGGTCGTGCGGGGCGGGCGGGCAGGTGCGGTTTCAGGTGATATGCTGGGCCTCCTATGAGCGGTGGATGCGGTGTTTGTCTGTTCGAATCGACAGCCGGCCGTCGCTGACGCAGGCGGTGACTATACGCATATCGCGGCGCCGCACACCTGAAGCACCACAACAAAGAGTTCGGGCTTTGCCATCGCATGGGACGCCTCACGTCCCAGCAGCGCGCCGCCCAGCAAAGCCGCGTGCTTGGCGAGCGTCACGTGCGGCCCGTGGGGGTGGCAGCAAGGGCACACTGCAGCGGGCGCGTCCGCGCAGGTCTCCCATGGCGGCGCGGCGGCCGCGGCGCGCCCCGCGGCGGCGACCGCCTCGGCGAGTGCCCGGGCGGTGG